ATATTCCCCGGCAAAGCAAACTTGAGGCTTCTGACGTCATCGCTTGACAAAATAGGCAGAAAATAGGCGGTCGGGGCATCCCCACTACTTTTCGGTCTTAAACTGTCGCAGCTTGAGGGAAAGACTAATGATTTTCGATCGGCTATCCGGTTGGTAACACGTTGATAAAAGAACAGAAAACTAGAGATTATTTAATCACTTTGTCCTCATACCTGCGTTGGCGCGTAAGGCGAACATTTAACCCTTTCTAGCTTAATTTAATTAAATTCTTCAAAAAAGGGAAAACACTTTATTAATAACATAATTTTGAAATGGTTAAATTCACTAAATGTAGCTGTGTGGCCACTTGTAATAAACTGAATTTAATCCTGAAAGATTTGGCAAAAAAATTTATAATAATTATTAATTTCTAAATCCAGTCATATACCATATATTGTTATTGTAAAGGAAACCTCGGGAAATGTATTGATATTTTTTAAGATTTAGAAAAGTAATAAGTAAACATTTTTTTGTTATTCTTAAATAATAAAAATAGTTTTCTGTGTTTTAAAAAATTGCTTGTGAAGCCCAAAAATTTCCAGCTGTAATGAAAAATAGGATGCTCAAATAATAAGAGATTGAAAAATAAGAATAAGAAAAATAGATTACTCTATTGTTCATAGAAGTGCAAGTGCGTTAACCTATTAGCTGATTAACAGAGAGGCGTCACAATTTCTCCTATATACATCTCCCACTTTCAAAGTCTAAAATTTGCTTTGCCGGACAATAAGTATAAGAAAACACGTTTGGAAAATGTGACGTAAAATCAGACGAAAATTCATACACCGAATAAAGTCGACAAATTTATTATTCTCGATAGCTCTTTTTATTTCTAGCAAAATATTACAGGAACAATTATCTACTAATTTGGATTTATTATCTAAAAATTAGATTTATTTACCGATAAAAAAGTTTCGTTGGCGACGAGGAACGGCGTAGGCAATGAGAAAATTCCGCACTTATGTGTGTGGGAAAGGGTTAAAAGCCCACGAGCGAATTAACATGCTCTCGAGGGTTAGGAAAGCAGGAAAGTCCTGTAGGTAGGTTTCTGAAGGAACTTTAGGGGAACCATACTGGTTTCCTCATATCTATTCTGTTTCATAATAATTTTCTTAGACTCCTTTGTTTCACATGATTATTAAATACCATTTTGAAACGTGTATAATTTTTCAACGAGATACATTTTTTCTGCTTCTAAATAGATATTCGAAATGATGCATAGATATTGATGAGGTTATGTGAGATATTTTAGTCATTTTTCCATATTTATTATATCATATTTTAACAGTGATTATTATACTATTTTACATATGTGACAAATGAGCAGTTTATTTTGAATTTGGGGCAACTTCATTTTCTATTTTGACTATAGATTGTTTACAGATAAAAAGATTATATTAAGTTCTATCTATTGTTATCGTTAACTTAATTTTTGAAAAAAATGGACTTGCTTCACTTTCAAGATAAACAGCTTATATGTGTGTTTTCTTTGTTAGGTTGTATATTTGGTAGATTTGTGTCAGAGAAAAAGTGAAAGCGAATTAGAAGTACCTGGAGAAGCAGGATAACAGAGATGTCATGGAGGTATTTTTCAAAAGTGTCTGACTTCCCTCTAAAGAGAACCTAACCTAACCTAATCTTCAATAAGATCAACTTATGACGACCTGATCTGATAATTCCTATACTGTTGGATTATATTGTTGTACTATTACATTATTACCAGCCAATCTCTTTATACTAATTAGTAATTCTTGCTTCTCCCATCAGAATGTAAAATTGTAATTTACTTCTCGTGAATGAAAAAACAAAATACCGTGCACGAGAGGTTAATAACATATTTGAAATGATTTTTATTTAATATTCGTTCAATATTCAGACGTAATAGGACTCCATTCTTCTATTTTCATTTCATTCCTCTTTCATTTTTAATTCTTGCTATGTTTCGTGTAATTTCTGAATGAAATACGGTTTTTCTCGGTGATTTACGAATTTTATGTTTCAATTCGTCTCACAAATTTCCCATACAGAGAATATAGCATTTTTACATAATTATACTACTTTATTAACGTTTTGAGTATTTCAACCGATGTGTTCCAAACCATATTTACACTTTGATGACTTATTATAGACTGTAGTAATTCTATGTGTGTAATACTGTTCGAATGTTGGCATTTACAGTCATTTTACAAACATAGAATCGAAATTAGCCAGGAAATTTTGAACATGCTGGTTCGGTAATCCTTCAGATAAGTGTTCATTTTTTTTGTATTAATTCTTTCACACAACATGCTCTTATTTTTCATGTAAATCAGTTTTGACAATTTTTCAGTATATGTACGACTTAATTTCATTTGACCATGGAATTTGTATTTCACTACTGGTTATTTTCATCCACAATTAGCATTATTTTCACATGTCGATAAAACAAATTACTTAGCAATAAAATGATACAAGGTAGTCGACATTTTCAAAATCAAAAACAGAACCTCGTTAAAAAATAATTCGACAGTGAAAAATTCGTTAAAAAGTCATTCTACAGTTTCCATATACTTTTTCACAAGAAATCATATTCTACTCGTTGATATTACGTTTTGCAGGTCACCCATAGTATACTACTTATTTTTCCAAATGTTTGTTTCCTTGTAACGAATATCTACGCTATTTATCATTTTTCAAACAAGTTCAAAGAACTTTCAAGAGATTAATCCAGCAATTGGAAAGAGGTAAATGCCTTCGAACCATTTCCAAGGATCGTAATATCAGTTTCTCATAACAAGCATGGCGTCCGGCCTGCCCATCGATAGCCATGAAAACGTTGACCATGAGAACGCGTGTGGTCGTCAACCGTATCAGCTGCTTTCTCACGGTTCGAGGTACGGGGGATGTTTATAAAAGCTACTCCGAGGTTCCATTTCCCTTCAGTCGCTCTTCGGCAATCGTATCGTCATGTTCACTGCCGTTCATAAGTATTGGGGCGCCCGTTAGGTTCGTGTAGAAAGTATTATATGATTTAAATTACATTTCCTCGGCAAAGTTAGTGTCGTATATTGGTAAAAGTATACGTATGTACTCGTTGTTCTTCGAGATTTTACAATGGATAACTTGTTTTTTATGGTTTTAGTAATTTTGCAATGATTTTTGTGTGTCGAGTAATTTTATGTTAAACTTGCGAGGACAATGAGGCTTGCTTCACATGCAGTAAGTAGATTTTAGTTGACGTTTGTAGAATTCGGTAGATTTCAGTAGATCTTAGTAAAATTTAGTAGATTTTCGTAGGTTTCAAAAGATTTCAGTAGATAGTAGAATACCAGTAAATAGATTTTAATAGGATTCAGCAGATTTCAGTAGATTTTAGTAGGTTTTGCTGGATTTCAGCAGAAATCAGTAGATTGCAATAGATTTCAGTAGAATTTAATATATTTTAGTAGGTTTTGCTGGATTTCAGCAGAGTTCAGTAAATTGCAATAGATTTCAGCAGAATTCAGTGGATTTTAGTAGGTTTTGCTGGATTTCAGCAGAAATCAGTAGATTGCAATAGATTTCAGTAGAATTTAATATATTTTAGTAGGTTTTGCTGGATTTCAGCAGAGTTCAGTAAATTGCAATAGATTTCAGCAGAATTCAGTAGATTTTAGTAGATATTAGTAGGTTTTGCTGGATTTCAGTAAAGTTTAGTAGATTGCAATAAATTTCAGCAGAGTTCAGTAGATTGCAATAGATTTCAGCAGAATTCAGTAGATTTTATTAGATTTCAGTAGGTTTTGCTGGATTTCAGCAGAGTTCAGTAGATCGCACTAGATTTCAGTAGAATTCAGTAGATTGTAGTAGATTTTAGTAAATAGATTTGGGTAGATTTCAGTAGATTTCAGTAGACTTCAGTACACTTCAGTATACATACTTCAAATTCATAAAGTGTCCCAAAGCTTACGAACGGTAGTGCAACTTCTTTTATCGTCCTCGAATTGTGTTCGTTAACATTACAAGAAGTAACTAAACGTGTTAAATTTTATTACACTTGCTTCTACCTTTCCACACTTTCGACACAGTTCACAAATTACATATAAATTAATCCAAAAACAATTCAGTTTAAGGTCGACAAGATTCAGATTAAAACTTCATGTGCCCATTTTACACAAAACACCAATGATCCATTTGAGTATCAATAAGGACAAACTGAAGTATCGAACCGCGCATATAAGCGATCTATTAAAGATTAATCCTAGAATTTGCGCGCAGAAACGCGATAATCTTGCGTGCACACTTGGTATGGAAGAGCTATAGTTTAGTTACAAAATTAGACAAGCGTGAAAGAAGATGAAATCTGATTGCTGAAACAGCAGTTGAGCGAGATCACTAGCACGAGCCTCGTTTAGGACCGTACAAAGTCAACTCGACAACGGTTCATCCATTACGGTATATTTAAAAGACTGATAAAAACAGAAGAAAAGGTAGATGCATATCTATGTACTGATTAAATCATGGTCGCCACTTGGCTATTGGAAACGTTGTCTCTCCAGAGATTCACCTTTTTCGCTGAGTACTTGTGACCTGAGATTTCGGGGATTCCCAGCTTCTGTAAGATGCCTACGACCCTGTGTGCGGCTATACTCTGTTCAAAATGAGAGTAACCTCACTTCGCGCATGGGACGTGCCTAAGGCAGGGCTAGAACCACTAGAACGTCCAAACCCCCACTTAACCGCCGTCTTAACCCCCACTTTTCTCCGTCTTACTCTCTGCTACGCTCTCTGTCTATGCGCAGAACGGACGAGAATCGGTCCGAGAGCGAGGTTACTCTCATTTTGAACGACGTATAGATCAATCGATGTTTTTCGCTTAACGTGGTGATTTACAGGTCGTAAATCTCTATAGCTCTTCCAGTAAGTACACCACAACAGTAATTCGGTCGTAATCGTTGGGAAGCTCGATAGTGGTAAACGGAAGGAGAATAATTGACACTTACCGGATGGGTGGTTAGATTGCAGATTGTAATCGTCGACCTGTAACGTGCTGTTTGGCCCTGTTCTTGTGAATCTTACTACGTGATACTGGTTATCGTTCACTTTCACACCGACTTCACCTATTGGATGGTCGTTTGTCCCCATGTTGTAGACAGCAAACACGTTTCCCTCCACCTGCAATCATTTTACTGTTATTTTATGAAATATACTAACAATAGTGCTATTTGTGCTGTTCAATTTTTTGAAAGAATTAATATCTCCTTTGATAAATTTACTATTTATCTCTTTTTCCAGAAATAATACTAATGTAATTTTATTTGAAAGATTTTAAGTTAATGTAAAACTTGTAATCTTCAAAGTTGTTACTATATATAGAAAAATTTATAAATCTTAATTGTATTAACAATAAAGTGATTCTTTTTTACAAATCATAAGAAGATTTATTGCTTTCACTAGTTCAGAGATTCCTGAGAGAAATTGTGGGTGTAGTAAAGTTTAGTGAAATTTCATGTGTGACGAAGACAATTTGGTTTTGAAAGGGAATGTTATTATGCTGTTTGCGGTTATTTGATTGACGCTATGTATCGATTATTTTGTAATTAAACGAATGTTTTCTGTCGATGTTAGAAAAGTAGCTCTGTTTTTTCTAGTTTGTAAATAGATCAATATTTACGAACCAAAGTTTGTTTTGAAACTTATGTTAATACTGAGGTAATTAACTTTGATCTGAAATTATTTCGTTATTTCACGTTTGAGGTTTAAACCTTCGATAATGTACTTTGTTTCCTAAATTATCGACAAAATGTATTAGTTTGTAGTATTCGAAACATTAAAGTATAGTAATATATTCTACGTATTCTTTCTGTTCCAGTAATTTTTCTTTCTTCAATATTAGTTTCACCAATTTTATATATTTGCTAAAATTTCACAATTTCTACTTTCCCATACTCATTTTTTTCAATTCATTTTGAGCACATACAATACTTCTTCCTTTTTATTCTTATATATCGTGTAATTGTGCTTAATTGAATAACCAATGCTCGATTAAATAAACAATTCAATCACATTTTTTTCAACTACAAGAAGTACAATTAGTATCGACAGCATATAACATCATCTGCATATGTAGAAGTAACGAATGCATTGTATAAAGTGAACTGTTACCAAATGTATTCCTCTCTGCATATCTCTCAATAATTAAAATGTACCTTATTCAATATATCTATCTAAAAATTGAATCTTATTAAAATTAATTAAATCTAATTAAAACTAAATCTTCTGAATTAGTTTTTATAAGATACTATTATTAACAATTGTCGAAAAATATTGTCATGCATAAAGTTGTATATTGTTGCAACCTAAATTGGATCAAATGCATTGAATCTGCTATGAACTATTATAACTATAATAATACTATATTGAACTATTACAATCTTTACACTATTTTCATATAGTCATATCAAGTAATATATTAATCATGAAGGAACTTGGAATTTTGTTTGTGTATGTGCATGTGTGTCTTAAAATAAAATTTACGTGTAATAGCAAACTCTCCTGTTACATTGAAAAAATGATTAACTCCACTTTTGCAAATTCTTCCAATTTTAGCATGAAAGTGTACACGTTTGGTGCTTAGCTCTTGAAAAATAAAAGAAATTTGATAAATTCACTTTGGTGGAGTTGGTCACTTTGGTTTCTGAGTGATTCAATTGACGTTATCTTTGAAATTACTAACAATTTCGATTTCAAGGTAGTCGTTGCTCGAAGCAGATTCTATTCTGAGAAGTACAGCGTCGTTCACGCTGGTTACAAAGCCTAAGGCCACCGTGTCTCTCTTCATTTCCGGTCTTCGGTCAGGTGGGAAGGTGTAGGTGATAATTCCTCTTCCGGCTCCGAATTCGTAAGCTGCTGCTTCTGCAACGAAGTAACGGGGCATGATTAATTAAAGAAGCTTGAAATAAGTAGAAAAGTATCGAATTAGGTAGTGTGAAATTAATAACAACAGAAAGGATAAAAATATGAAACAATAAAACAAATTTAAATTAAATAATAAAATGAACAATTTTATTAAATAATTATGTAACAAATTAGTAAACAATCGAATGGATTTTATTGAAATTTGGAAGAAATAAAAAATTGATAAATTTAGATCTGGTTTTAGTTTACTTTTCAATCATAGTAATGTTAAGCAGCATAATGTAAAAAGATGTACTGTTTTCAATGGATAACATTTTTGTTTGTGAAATACAATGCAATTTATTCTGGTATCAAAAGTTCTTCACGTATATATTTTCACTATTTTCTGCGATTTTCTGTTGAACCTTAAATAATTTAGATTAGACTTGTTCTTCTTTAAAATCGTCACAATTTAGAACTAGCGTTAATAAAACACAGCAAGGTAGATATGGTAAAGTATATAATAATCTAACTCAATTTATTTTTCTATTTGCTTTCAAAGTAGCTTCAATGTTACGTTCTCAGTAAACATTTACTTTTTCTTGCTTACAATAGCAAAGAGAAAAAATTACAGAAAGTAAGGATGTATTGGTAATTCGTTAATTTTCGTTTTGCGCTGGGCTTCTTTTAAAACAAACTTTCCACCATGAGCATCGCTCCACTGAAACTATTAATAATTTTACGAGGACATTTCGGATGTGTTGTTTTTTTTCTAAAACGTTCGGTGTACGATTTATATATTTCAAAGTATCAGCTCCGTCATCGTTCAACGCGAGCGCTCTAAATCCAAGTAATGAGATAAAAAGCACCCCGTAAAATGAACAAATTTTTTTCATCTCGTAACGCAGTCCTAAATGACAAAGTGCTCGTAAAGGCATTTCGCGTATTAAAACGATAGAATAAAGAAGAAAACAAAAACGGTACTTTTATTGAAATTTTCGTGCAAGAACTAATATTCAAGTAAATACTTTTTAAGAAAAACTATCCCATTACATTATTCTACTACTTTACTTAAGGATTTAATATATTTTTTTTTAATAACAATAAATAACCAAGGTCTATCCGTATTTTTTATGCAAAGAGGAAGGCAGATGCTATTCACCTGGCGCGAACGGCAACAGAATTCAATATACCGGGTGTTGTATATATGAAGAAATCGACAAGTGCATATATACGCTTCAGTACTATTTATAAGAACGAGAAGTGGGTGTGAATGTTTATAGCGAGTGATTGAGCTTCGAGCGTTAGATGCGCCGAAGAAGAATGTCCGTTTGGATCGAGTGCTTGATATTATACGTCGTTCAAAATAAGAGTAACCTCGCTCTCGGACCGATTCTCGTCCGTTCTGCGCATAGACAGAGAGCGTAGCAGAGGGTAAGACGGAGAAAAACGTAGACGGTTTGGACGTTCTAGCCCTGCCATAGGCACGTCCTATGCGCGAAGCGAGGTTACTCTTATTTTGAACAGAGTATAGTGTGTGAAAGGAAAGTGCATGGCCACCCATGAGTTTGGGTGGGCGTGACCGAATATGTCCTGGGAATGTCTGCGTGGTTTGTCTGAACGGAGCGAGATGGATGGTGAAATAGAGAAAGGGAGAATGCGGGAGTGAAAGAATATACAGGGTGGGCCACTTAATTATCTATAGCTATGGTGGTACAAGAAAATTTGTATACATAATTTGAATGGTTTCGAAGAGTGAACAAGATGGAAGAAATGTTAAAAAATGAAAGGAAGTCACATTTGATTTAAAATTTCAGAGTCAAAGGTTCTTTTAAGGTCATACTTTTATGCATGCTTAAATGCACGCCAATGTCTGCTGCAACGCACAGTAGAAAAAAATATGTGCATTCATGTAAAAAGACATAGGTGACTTTGAAAAAGAAGAAAGAAAAAAATCTTGATTCCATCTTATTCGTCCTTTGAAACCATTTAAGTTACTTATAAAAATGTTCTCGTATAGCCATAACTTATATAAAATATAGAGAAGATAATTAGGTGGCCATTTTACGTGGCCCACCCTGTATATACAGTGTGGAAGATACGTGGCAGAGGTATTTAAGTTATTAATTGGAGTCGTTCAGTCGAGTATTATATTGCCTGTGCCACAGATTCCAATATGCTGGATGGTTGTCCCTCTTTTCAAGGAATTTACTCGGGATACGGGACTTAGGTGGTGCATGAGAACTTTGGAAAAGAATTTACTATTGTAATATAGTGTGTAGGACTCCGTATAACGCGATCAAAATAAAAGAGAAGAACATACAAATTCTGAGTTCGCAAACTTGGAATCCTGGGTTAATTAAATTTGACCCATAAGGCGATGCCGGTGGACTTAATTTATATTATATTTCCCACGTTACAAGGTACGACTGTGCGAAAATGTATGGTGTTATGAGGCATATTATTTGTCTAGATGCCTCATGCGAACCTCAGTTGGAACGCGTCATACCGTGGATAATCGGTGATGCGTTCTTTTGACACGTCACACCGCACCCGAATGCGCTTCCACCCTTACAGAACTTTAATAAAAAGACCCTCGAAAGGGGAGCTTTTTCCTATTTTGGAGTTCGAAGTGAAAAGGAAGAGACACGGGGGATTTCGTGTCGGTTAAATGTTAATTGCGTATCGGTTGGATTACTTCAAAGGACACTAAATAAAGTATATCGCCTGAGAACAAAAATGTCTCAACGACAAAGTTGAGTAAGTAAACAAAGACACTAGGAGGACCACCAGATGTGTTTGGAGTTCGTCTTAAAAGTCAAGACACTTTGTACCGCACGACAATAGAATAAACAGTTCGTAGGTATAAGCGGACCCCAGGTTTCCCTCTTTGGGTGTCCAGTACAGTTCCTAAGAGCTATTCGTACAGAAAAGGCGTTCTTTCCGAGTCGTCTTAATGAAAGAAAACTTTTATTTCAATCACCCATTTTCCAATAGTATCAAATGAAACCTATTCTCACAAGGGTACTTCCGATTTTTTTGAAACTTTGCAGGTTTGTAGGGAACCTCGAGAGAAGTATCGGGCAATTTTTTTTTGGCCCGTTTTCGGTTCGGTGAAAACAGCCCTTGAATAAAGATAAGTGTTACCGTATTTTCCTGTATATCTTTAAAATTGTAGTAGATATAAAAAAACGTTTATAATAAAAATTTAATGGATCTTTATGCCTTATAAGACAATGCTATTAAATGAATAAAAATTGTTTGTTTAAACAAAAAATCTTCCACCACCGTTATTTTGAAAAATTTTGAATTTTCTGTCATATCGAAAAATATGTCAAATAAATGCAGATAAATATGCTAAATATGAATATGAATAATGTAATATTGAAATAATTTTAATCATTGTTTAATTCATCAAAGTTGAAAAAAATCGAAACTTCCTTGTTAGTTAGTGTATGTGAAAAGTGCAAGTTTGATGACTAATTTATTTTCCACATCGTGACAGTGTCAACTGTTCGAAAGCTGTCGTGTATCTTCCTGCGTCGTTGAAAAAACTGTCTTTTATTAATTCGTACTATTTTCCTATTGATGTAAGAGTGTATGTATGTTTCCGCGATTGGTGCAGGTGTTTGGCTATGGTTGTGGTTTGTGAGCTGATGGAGATAGGAGTTTCGGGTTTTTTAAGTTATAAATTACCCTAAGATTCCTGGAAGCGAATTACCGGGACAGACGTTACAAAATAGTGTTTGCAATTTCTCGCCCATGCGGTGACCGGCTGTCCAGAGATGTTAGGTTTGAAGAATACTGTTTTACTGGGGGTTGCGCTCGGGTGTGAAATTTTCACCTTTTCCTTTATTGCGCTAAAAGATTTACCAGAGCGACATTTGTTACACACGTGACACCTGAGTTGAATATTGCATTGCATTTCTATACTACTTTAACAGGGTGTCCCAGTTTTTTCCAATCAAACTTTGTCAGTATATTCTGTGGGCATAACTAAGAAAAAAATGTTACACAAACATAGGTCGTTTGAAGCTTCGTTAAAAAGTTATTTTGAAGAAAACAGAAAAGTTACTTCAAACGAAACGGAAATTTCGCAATTTCAAAATTGAAAAGAAATTCGTAAGTTTGGAAATTTCAAAATTACACCACTTCGTGTGAACTTTTCTTTAAATTATCTTTCCACGTCACTTTGCAGTTCTGTCTATTCTCAGAAAGCTTTCAATCTTTCAACAACAGTACAATTCCGCAAAATAATCGACATGGAGATTTTTATTTTCCAATCAACTAGTAACTCTTTCTTGCAATTTCCACACAAAGGAGGACACTTGATTTTCCCCCAAAAAAAGAAAAAACAATACACAGTAGATCTTTCATAATCTTCTCGACAAACACAAACAGAAAGGCCAGCTGTGCGAGAAACAAGTACATCTTCGCTCTGCAAATAGAGGGTGGCAAAGATAAGGTAAAGTCCCTGGAACAGGAGGAAGAATAAGTGCACCGTGTGTTTGCACGTAGGATCATCTGCTTTCCATTCATAGGACAAGCTTACAACTATCCCCTTTTGTCCAGTACAAACGCACACACCATCGGTGTCAACCATCGATACACATTTCTGGAATATGCGCTTTTTTCTTCGTTTTTTTTTTTTTACCTTCGTTACACGTAGGTCCAGTAAAACTGGTCATGTCACAGTCGCACGTATAACTGTTCCATTGTTGCACGCACGTGCCGTGATTTGAACACAGGTCATGCGTGCACTTTTTGCCGGGATGGAGGCTGGCGTACATGTCGCAGCCGGATTCAACTAAAGAGCTGGGTACCACCGCGTCGGAAATCAGATTGGTGCTCTCGCCGCTGAGGTCCAACGATGCGAGACACCCCTCGAAACCATGTCTGCTGAGTATCGGCTTCGGTAGCTGACCGTATTGTGTTTTCTCCACGCCTCCTGAAATGGCGAAACGTTATGTCAGATACAGGAAGAGTTACACGTTGCGAGTTACGTCGTTGATTAAGTTTTGTCCTGATAAGGTATCAGGTCGGAGAGTCCTCGAAAGAACAAGTCTTAAATAAATTTGGCGTTTTCGTTTTTAGCGGTCTCTTGTTCGTTTTTTTTAGTATGAATTTAATGTTTAAATGAATAAATTTAATGTTTATTGTTGTTTGTGAGGAGTGAGCTGTTGTGTACTGACACTATCTGTTATTCCAAATTGTGATGTGGGTTTAAGTGTTAGTCTTCGATTCTTATTTTGTGAGTACCCCGAATTTTGGTAACCAATGACTTTATTCTTTTCTGACTAACTCCGTTTTATCCTCGAACTCTGCCCTTGAATCACCACTCCTCAAGATACGAGTACACTTCGTTCAAAATAAGAATAACCTCGCCCTCGGAACGATTCTCGGCCGTTCTGCGCATAGACAGAGAGAGAGCGTAGCAGAGGGTAAGACGGAGAAAAACGTAGGCGGTTAAGTGGGGGTTTGGACGTTCTAGCCCTGCCTTAGGCACGTCCCATGCGCGAAAAGAGGTTATTCTTATTTTGAACGGACAGTAGATATATTATACGTTCTTTCTCAAAAATTGGAGATTGGTCCTTTAAAGCTCCGTTAAATTACCGAACAGTCCGCTAATGATATTTATTGTATTTTGTCAACGTGTCTCCGTTCCGTGGTACTTGTACGATTGTCACTTAATAAACGATTAGTACGCGGAATACAACATATGGCCCCATAGAGAGTGAGGACCCAGCTCTCTGGCTCTTGGCCTTGGCTAAGGCTCTCTGGCCTTATCTCTTAAATATACAGGGTGTCCCACCTAACTTGAGCATCTTAAATATGTCCTTGATTTTTTGTGATAGGAAAAAATGTCGAAGGAAAGTAATATTTTGTTCGAAGAGGCAAATATGATAGTGAAAAATTTTTTTCGAAATTTCAAGATCATCCAAGTTTTATTTTTAAATAGGACTACGTATTTCTCTCATCGCGATGTGATAGCTGAGGGCAAGATGAATCCAGCGACCTAAATACTATGACCATCACGTGACCTTGAGTACAGAAAATTCGTAAAAGTTGGGTAATTGATGGAAATAGTGAAGTAATTATGATAGGAAGATCAATGAAGGGGGAATTTATTTTAACAAGTGCTCAATATATATATATGTTATATTGCACGCACTGTTTATCTCTATAAAGAAATAAACAATTAACGATCGTTGAATCGTTGATCCTATTTGATCGATCGACCGATAAATAGAAATTAACTTCGACTTGTAGAAGTCGGAGTTCTACTGAATTCGACAATTAAACACGCGACAAATAATAAATAATTCGTGTTAACGGAACTTGTATATCGAGTTGTAGAGATTTTTACATCGGAGCGGAAGAGAACGAAGGAAATTTTTATCGTTATTGAGTTATCGCGGTTCCGCTGTAGTATAGTTTGGCCCGAAAAATCGAAATTAAATCGTAGGGCAAGGAATTCAGCTAAAATACCCTCGTTCTTTTTCAGCCATCTTAATAATATCGCGCCCAGGGCTTCCGAAAGCGTAAATACAGCCCTGATAAAATTCGTCGACACAACAATATTTGCCCTTGAATGCATCGAACGTCACGTATAAACGTAAAATAATATCGGCTATTACGTGTCCCGTGTATTTCCCGAGTGACTTCCTAAATAAGAGATTAAGAATCCGTGAATTTCGATTACGGTTGAAGAAACGCTTTCAGCCGCTTATCTAGGTTTATTCAGCTTTATCACCCATTTATCATCGCGTTTCTTTAATCGACGTGAAATTAAACAGGAACAGTGATAGAGAACTACTTATAAACCTAATCTCCTTTGTAGCGGAATATTGTGGTTAAAGGCCGGATGCACTGCTGGTTAAGCTTGCTGGATTCGCAGACCGGATTGTTCCTCGTTCGATAGTCAACACCTGTTTCATTTTTCGATCTCAGTTAGACAGTCTGTTCCGTTCAGTTTCCTTCGTTCAGTGTGTATCGTACTGATCGCACAAATTGTAAGAAACAGTCGTAGCAACGATACACAGAGTTCGTTCAGTGCCGCGGTACAGTGATCGCAAGAAGCATCAAGAGTTCGAACAGCATCGATCGTCGAGCTACTTCTGAAAAAAAAAAATGAACTGTCTAGTAAATACATCACGTTTGGTCACCGTGTTTTTCGCGCTCCTTATCGTTCAAGTGACGACGACGTTATCGACGTTCATAGAGAGCAACAGATTCAACAGGATCCAGAACATACCTCCGCAATGGAGGGTCGTCCCGCCCGTGTATCAGCCACCGAAGATCGAGCTTAATCTCATAAAGAGTCACGTGTTTAAGAACGACAAAAATTGGTCGGGCAACATCCAGTACATATTGTCGAGTAACGACAAACAGGAGGAGGACCGAAACATTGGTAAAGAACAAGGTGGTAAAGGTGAGACTGTGAAGAATGGTAAAACGACGCCACATTTTGGACCGAGAAAAATTATCAACTTGCCCTGGCTCGAGTGTCCCTACGGCCAGAAGAGAGACTTTCGAGGGCAATGCAGAGATATCGTGTAAGTTTCAGACTTTTGTCTGCTTTCGTTGTATTTAGCGTTGGTTAAAACACGTTTCTCTTCCTTCTTTTCTTTGTCTTCGGTGAATGTTTGGAGAAAAGAGGAGCGACGAACGTGAAATTGTGATTCTTTGGTACAGATTGTAGTTGAGTTGTGAAAAATGCAAGTGTAGCAGTTGAGAGAAAAGCGGAGTTGCACGTTGGAACGAGTGTGAGACGAATATATACCGGGTGTCTTATTTCAGTCTGTAAATATTGATATTTCGGAAATTAGTGTTGATCTGGAAAATCTGCTTTTGGGGGAATTAAATGAGGAGGACGTTAATTTAGTATTATGTAGTAGTAGTATTGCTATTCGACTTGGTTTACATATCCTACGTTTAAAAATCTATCTTATCCACACATACGGTTTATTCATTCATTCTCTCTCTCTTTCTGTCCCACTCATTCCTGTTCTGTCCTACTCTATTCTTACCCTAACCATTGCACCCTTTCCTATTCTCCTCCATTTGGTTAAGCTTTGGTTAAATTTGTACTCTCTTTTCTCTCTTTCTTCTCAGCTTTTCCTTCGACCTTTCTGTCTCGTCTCCCACTCGCTATATCTTCCATCCTGATCTAATTTAGTATTATGTAAGTTTGCTAAGTGCAAGTGTTAAGGTCACTTCAAGGTCAGTTGGATTTTGTAATCGACACGTTATATATTTTTTTATACAAAATGAATTCAGTAGTCTCATATGTTGCACGGTTTTATTGGAAAAATACAAGGACGAAACGGAAATGAGCATTCCAAATGAGCAGCCATCTTGCACATATCGCTACGACCCTGAGTAGTAACCGTCAAATGTCGAAAAACGACCATTTGATGAACTAAATAGTGCCTCTGCAAGTGCTCGAATACATTGCCCTGAGGATCGATAGATGTGTGAATACGCCTCTTGATGTCATTTTGCACGGCCATAAGCGTCTCTAAAATCCCACTTTTAACACCACGTGATCAGTGCTAGATGCCTATTTAAATACGTTAATTCATCAAGTCGAATGTTCATTTACGTTTCATTGTTGTATTTTTCAATAAAATTAGGCAACATATGAGGTCGTCTATTCATCTCGTTACACTGTATCATTTTGTGGTAAAGAATATACTATGTGTGATTTAACCCTTGCATAGGCAACCAAAATGTTCACGGTTGCTTCAAGCTTTAATATTTCAAATTGTGCGCATAAATTTCTATTTTGGAAACTATATCGACGTGAAAATGTTTAAAAAATGGGGATCCAGAGGGATTTTACGATTCTTTCACAAGAACATAAGGACAGTATAGGGGATTAAAAAAGGATTAAAAAATCCAGCTGACCTTGATGTGACCATAACACTTGCACTTGGAAAACTTACGCAGTACTTATTAGTGTTCTCTTCTATCTCATTTAATTCCCCCCAAAAGCAGGTTTACCAATTTAACGTTGTTTCCGAAATATTAGCATTTATAGATTGAAATGGGTCACCCTGTATATAACGAGATTGAATGCGTACTGTTCAAAGTAATTATTAATAATATATTATTGTTATTAGATATGTAATTAGAGACACTGGACGTTCTATCTTTAACGGTTAATTCTTAATTTTTATTATCTTCAATAGTTAAATTTAATAATTAATAATGCTTTAAATCGGTTCTATACGTTTCGTTCACTTTGTACTTAACACTCCATACTTTAGTTTATTTCACTCACTTAATGTTACAAAATTCGTGCTATTTTTAATTATAAAAAGTAATTAGATAAAAGCAAATAATTTTTAGAATTCGTCTTGTACGTAAGAAAATCGTGTAACTTAATTTTCAATTTAATTCAGCTGAAATTGGTTTAGTTCAATTTATCTCGCACAAAGCAGAATCTTCTAACTGAATTTTTAATCGAATTCACAGTTCCGATTGGTTCAGTTCAATTCCTATTTGCCGCTGTTCAATCGAATTCAAATCACTTGCAAAAACGTAGCGAATGTTTTTCTTATCAGCAGAGAATCAAACGTAACGATAATTCGAGGTAACAAGGAATGTGATGTACAAATCTCTATTGACCATCTAGTCTTACAGTGCCCAAACTATAGCATATCACGGCAAAGGTACTCACTGAAGCCACACATCAAGGACAACTTGGAAGATGAGAAAAGTCGCGACCTACTGCAATTCACAAAAGAAACCAAACTGTTACAAAAAATACTGTAGTTACACATAAGACGCATTTACTAAAACGTCGCTAATAGCCTATATAGCAGTCGATGCGACGTTAAACTATTATTTAAAAAAAAAAAAAAAAGAAAAAAAAATTTCATTTATTTCCTCCGTTCGAGTATCTATCATATTTATTTTTATCATATTTCAGTGAGATCCATTGAATCGCGGAACAGCTGTGCTTAATCAGACTGGCGAAGACGCGATCGCACCTGCAATTTGTACGTCCATGAATGGTTCGTCCAACGCTATCTTCCTCTTTTGTAATTTCCTTTTTCTAAATAAATCCTCAACAGAGAATGCAGTATTTCTTCGTTCCAACCTTTGACTCGTGTATGACGCTCGATCGATCCAGATCGATGCTTCGAACGGTATCGCGGTGCTTGTTTGCATAATGACACGCGTAATAAAGCGATTTTTGAAAATATCGCCGTTGCGCTGTAGGAGCATTCCCGGTATCAGTGTTATTTATACGTCGATATATCTGATTGATGATTTCACTCTCGCGTTATTACGCGGTACTTATTTCGGTCGGTGTATCGACCGAGCCAATCTCTCTTCGCCCCTGGCGGAATGTGATTTATTGTGTCGGGGATTTTCGAAATTCACCGTGGTCCATAAAATAATACGTCGCCTTCGAAGGTATCGAGATACGCTTTTACACTCGTCGAAGGTCAACGATATTTTACCAAGCGATCGTTTATTTCACCTTGATTCGAATAAATGTACCGCACGTTTTCAATTTTACGAATCATGCGCGGTACAGGCTGTAAATTAGATTTCAGTGGTTTATAATGTAATATCGTGGCAGTTTTATTTCTCACCTTACTATACGCGCGTGAAAATAACGTCGATTTTTGATCCAGGTGATAATATTAGGATATTACTGCTCGAATACTGCTATACGTCGTTCAAAATGAGAGTAACCTCGCTCTTGGACCGATTCTCGTCCGTTCTGCGCATAGACAGAGAGCGTAGTAGAGAGTAAGACGGAGAAAAGTGGGGGTTAAGACGGCGGTTAAGTGGGGGGTTTGAACGTTCTAGTGGTTCTAGCCCTGCCTTAGGCACGTCCCATGCGCGAAGCGAGGTTACTCTCATTTTGAACAGAGTATACCGTCTGCCTGATCACTTCACGTGGAGCAACTTCGTGAGGGGTTATGGTTTGCGAGTTTGTTAACACGTTCCCTAATGGCGCTTTTAGATCAAACGGAAGAAATCTCAAAAATTCTTCGTATATGTACTCGTTTGGGTTTGAATTTTGTCGAAGTGGGGGGGGCGAACGAGCACTCGTTCGTTTGGTCTAAACACACCTTAACCTATAACGAGTCCCACTCGTGACAGGAATTTTACTCAAGATACGATAAAAATAGTTATATTAATAACACAAATTAATTGTAATCCTAACTTTCGATTTAATTTGTAACACTGAGAATTACTAAATGTAATTAATCTGTAACAGCTTAACTTTTGTTACCTGACACAGTACCAAAGCTCTAAGTTACCGATGCTTAGACGCATAGTCGGAAAAGAAATTATAGGTTAAGGGGTTAACAGACCATTTTAACCCTTTACTGTCGAGACACTGTTTTTGGGACGATACGGAGTCTACGAAACTACCGGACTTCCAGTTAGTTTATACATAAATATAGAACATTTCTGACAACTTTTCTTACCGATTCACCTTTATTACACATTTTCCTAATGAACATTATACAATAGAGAATGGTTGGTTGGATTAATTTCATTTTAATATAATAATGTTGAGTTCTAAATAGAATGGAAGAAAAAAGATAGAATCAGCGGAGTCTCTGAGACTTCGCCTCGACAGTAGAGGGTTAGGCAAACTTTTGGAACGACCCAAACTCTTCCTTTTTGTCCTTTCTTTTACATACGAACGATCTTTCTCTCCGTTCAGATATGCACAATATCTTTAAACGATCTTGCCTCTAAATTTTACCGAGAGTGAAAGGTAATTTGCAGATGTAAAGAAATATCTTTATTGTTAGATTAGAGATATGTAATCGGCACAATAACAAATGCTCAAAGCGATGTCCTTCGATGGTGATACGTTGGTTATAACGAAAAATGATAGATTGTAACATTCTTTCAATTATTTCAAGATTAACAGCAGCGATAAGTATTCTTTTTCTTTTATTTTTCTGTGTTTGTAAATTTTTTACGACAAATATCTTGCTTGCACGTCTTACAGTACAGTATCTATCGTGTCAAGTATCGTGATTACGTTAGAAATCTGATAAAAATTGTGTCTTATAGATAATGGTTAAATACGATAGTAAATATATCTATATGCATAAGTTGTGTTCGCTGTCTTAAATTTCAGGCTTACCAGAGTAAGTTATTCAGTAACTGTGCAAAGTCTTAGGCCACAAAGTGTGGCTTATTTTCCAGTAAATCTACGTTAATCTTTTAACTTTTAAACTCACAAGTCGAAAAATTTTAAATTAAAACCATTTCAAAAAATTATTTACCGTCGTATATACATTCAAGTTTGATATTCAGAAGTAAAATAAAATTAGAAGAAAAGAAAAAATTCGTAGAATCGTCGTTACGAGAACTATTGCAAATTTAGAAAATCTATTCAAGCTGTCGTATTGTGTATAAAAAGTAACGAAACTTCGTCCTCTTCTATTTTCCTCACAAATCTACCATTTACGAGAAAAACGCTGGAAATTAACAGCGCGAACAACCTGCATATTTTTACTCGACACTAACTTTGTCCAAGAAATGTAATTTAAATCATACAATACTTTCTGCATGAACACAATAAGTGTCCCAATATTTCTGAACAGCAGTGTTCGCTTTGATCACGCTTGGGTACGCTCATCCTTGCTCGACCATCTCCAACATTTCCTCCTTGTATTAGACAAAATTCAATTTCACGGTAACATCTGACATAAACGATCTACTCACCGATGTACAAGATCCCGTCGAGATCGAGATTCTCGTTGCTGCCCTGACTGTTGACAGCGGTGACATGATCGTCAACAGCGAGCGTGTGCCTCTTAGGTGCCGGCCTCCCGATGCTAACTGCGTGCCATTTTCCGTCGTTCAGCTTAGACCTCGAGGTGTCCTTGACCCTGACCGGACCGTCACCCAGATCGAATACATAGTGAACGTGTCCGTTTACAAGCTCAACGGCGATGAAGTCGCGTTCTCGACCGGCGTTGTACAGAATCAGACCGTTTGCTTCGCGTGTCTTGAACTGAAAAGTGACGAACTTTGCGTAAGCGACAGAATGAAGTATAAAATCTGCTTGCAAGAACGACTCTTCGTAGAGCTTTCATACGAAAATTCTTTTATGTTTGGACACTAAACGAGCACTCGGCAGACCAAGGTTTCTCTGGGTATTTGTCTATATAGTCACGTGATACATTGAGGATTGATTAACATGATAAGAACTGAATTTCCCAAATGGAGAATTGATTATGAAGTTGTGTAGGTTAGTCCTTTCGGCAATTGGGGTAATATGTATACAGGGTGGACTACCTAACGCAATAAATTAATGAATTCGGTGGGAAATGAAATAGGTCTTTTTTAAATTTCAAGTTTAAGGTCACTTTCTGAGGTTATTAGTGACCAGAAAATCAAAGGAAGGGACAGGATGTGCTGTGCGCGCTCCTGAAGATCAGCTGCTATTCAGACTTCTAGAAACATTCGCAGTTTTTACCAGTGGAGCAATTACCATTTTACAAGCCCTGAAATATACCGGGTGGTCCGCCTCGATTATTTTCATTATCAGCAGACAGCTCCAAATTTTTTTGGTCATAGAGGATACGGTTTCGAAGGATCTCAAAGGTAGTGACCTTAGGTTTCTTCTATGTCCTTTTTTCGTATAAATTTTCATGGTCACGTTTAACGTTTTCATACATAAATTTTATATATAAAAAATGTATTATATTGTGGTAAAACTGAAAAAT